CAGATGAAGAGATTAGGAACATCATGTTAACCAGCTCTGAAAAAGCATAAAGATCCAAAGTCCATAGTTCCGCATCACTTGCAAAGATATTCACAGCAAGAAAATCCGGTTCTACTGCAAGTTAAGTAACCATGGTACAGTTATACGGCTAGAGTAGTACTGATCAGATCTGTCCGTAGTTTGACTTGTTTTATTCTCAATGCCTTTATTCTTACACTTAAATAAGGTTGTTTTATTTGCCATAAGTATAAAAAACACAATTCAGGTAATGTGTATTCGGACAGTTCCAACTATTATGTTGCCCATACCGTCGTTACAGCGGACTGCAATTGTGAAATCGCCTTTGGCATGTAAATCGAATAAAAGGCGATGCCATGTGCTACAGAAAAATTAACATAATCTTATAATGCAGATAAACTTTCACTACAAATTTCACAGTTTTCACTACAAAATAGAAAAATCGCAATTTAAGATAAAACAAATTTCTTACAGTGCTAAAACCAACTTGCAAGAGGAGGAGTTCCGAGGCATCTAAAGGAAAAAAATTAAAAACGGTTAAAATCATGATCCACAAATCAGCAGCAAACACCCTTTTAAGAAACAAACAGAGGCCATCACCTAAACATGACGAATTCGATTTGACTAGAAAAAGAAGGATCGCAACAGCTGAATTATTTGCCCAACTTTTCCGGAATTTCTACATTAGCCACGGTAACGGCATAGTCAATGATTGGCAAGTACAGTAATGTGCTGTAAAATTTTTCATAAATCTAAAAAGACCGATTTTTTGTGATACACCGTCTGTTAAAACTTTAGCCAGTGAAACGTATGGAAATCCCGCTTACATTTTTTGGCCGTCCGTTCTAAAACAACGTTACTGAACTGTTACACACCGTATGTTACCATACATTTTTCCTCTTTACGAGAGTTTTGCTATTTGCTACAGCAGAACATGACGATCATTTTCGGAAACCCTTATCTACCTGTTCTCCTTAAGGAGGAATTTTTAGGCTTAAGAGAAGAACGTGAATATAACCTGCATTTGCAATAAAAAGAAAATCGCATGCCCTGCTTTCAGTGTACGAGCTTCTTTTCTTTTTCTTCCGTGCAGCCGCAGCCAAGTATAAAATACGTGTGAAAAGCAGACCAAAATACATAATTAAGTTGCTAAACTTCAGTCAGTTTCTTTGCATAATGCATTGCAATAGGCCACAGTTATTAATAAAATGCTGGCCATTTTACTGAAATTCTTTAAATACGAATAAACAAGTGAAGCAAAGATTGAAAATCTTGTCGACGATGGATTCCGAAATGGTTCTCATTCATCTTGAACAGAGAAATTGATTTTTCATATCATCATACGTCGATACACATAAGGAGGTTCTATTTTCGATGGCAACGTACACTCTTGCCAATGGCGGTCTAAAAGCAGCTTGCGTATACATGGCTGAAATAGTGCTAAACGTGTGGAATTTTGCATACCCTAATCACTCTTAAACGCTGGAGTTTAACTCTTAGTTGATTGCTGCTTCAATTTAAATTATTTAACATCTATGTTTAGTGACATTCGTCTGGTTGACTGCCAAGGCAATGTCCGTTGTTTTTTAAACCACTTGTAGATTGCAGAGAGTGGCTGAACAACCTTCATGGTGTGTTAACTGCGAAATAAAATTGGAAAATCTGGTGACGGAATAACCTTCATGGTGTGTTAACTGCAAAATAAAATGGGAAAATCTACCGAATAATCGGTCCCTCGAGATATTAGACGGTAATAATACTAGGCTCAGACTGCTGTAGATACTCGAAAAGATTGTGAAATGGCGAGTAAACACATAATGATTCCTTGGATGAGCATGCTGTTAAACTCTGATTTTCTAGCCGGTTTCACGTTTATTCGAGAGACAATGTTTCACATGTAAAATTCGTTGCGCACTGCTGTTATAACTCGTTTTTCGTTGAGCCACAACTTTAAATGATTTATTTCTAATTTAAGTTATGCACTAAGTCTGAACTGAAAATCTTTGCAAGTCCTGTAAAATCGCGGAAAATCTGCTGTTCTGCGATGAGACCGATGTACCACAATTGGTCATTGACTGCCATTCATTAGTGATAGTGTCACTGGCTTTATCTGCGTTCATTTTTTCCGCTATTTATTCATCAAATAATTTAAAAAGGATTTCCTTTTTACCTATGCTGAAAAGCGGATTTCTTTGGAAGCTGTTTTGATGCCGTGCTTTGACTGTTTTTAATTAATGTTAGCCCATGTCGCAGTTCAATGTATCTGAATTGTATGATTAAAACCTACTGACCGAAGAAGCAGGTATCTGTAATGCTATCACTCAGAGATGCCTTGTGTCTTCAATATACATCATCCGGTCTTAATTCATTGGTTGGGTTTTGCATCAGCTATGATCTAGGTTAAATGATATATGTTTCAGACCAGCAATTCGTGGATTTCTTTCTCTTTAGCCTATTTTTATTAAACAGTGTGTAGCATAGAAATTTTCACACACTTGCTCAGCTTTCAAACACTTCAATAAGTACAGTTCATACTCGAGAGTCTAGGCGAAATCTACTTGCTGCTTACTTCGTTTCTGACATTGAAGTCGTGCTGCAAGAACTGTTTTGTCATCATCATCATAACCAAAGACTTCTAGAGCTTATTGCAGAGTAACCCAGATTTATCTTACTTTTCAAAATCTTTTCTCAGATTTATATTAGACAAAATTTGCTTCTGCGGCAAAAGTGATCTTCTTTACCATCCTGTGAAAGTCCGGCCAAAGTTGAGAGTTTCGTGAGTTTCTTTTGTTCATAGCAATCGGAGAAGAGGTGGAAAAGGTGAAGCGTCTATTACCGAATGATGAACAACAGATAAAGAATAAATTATGTCGAAGGTTAGGAATTGATCTACAGGTTCGCCTTAGAATAATGGAATTTTCACATCCTCTCTCTTCGTGATTCTCCAACCTTCAGGACATGAAAACGTGTCATAATTACCGCATTTATCTGTATTTCAAGATAATATTATCATCTAGTAAGTCACAAACGCATAGAAAACGCATAAAATTTTTTTTTAACTAGGGACATCTGACGTTTCAGACCAAGCTCGGTTCGTTTTCAGAGTACGATCAGAACTTGTACCCTGAAGACGGCCGAGCTTAGTCCGATACGTCAGATGTCTCTAATTAAAGAACATTTTATGCGGTGTCTTCCTGTCTGTGAAATACTAAAGAATCATCTATACATTATGCAATATCATAATATGTTGAATTAGTGTTTTGTTGTTTTAAGGAGGCTTGCGAAAACGGACTCGTATTCCAACAAAAAATGCAGCAAAAAATTTAGGCGAGTCAAAAGATTTTTCATTTTCATATTACAAATTAAGCATTTGAGGATGAAGTGGAATGAGTACCGACTTAATAGTTATTAATTAAAATAGCCAATAGCCTTTAGTCGTTGAAATTTAAAAATGATATTGCGTTTTAATTTTTCGGTTGTAAAATAAAGTATAAATTTGCTAAGTGATCATTTTTAGTTTTAATTCTTCAGTTTTCAGTATAGATCTCTAATAGTTTGAAGCTTTCTGGTGATTTTTATCTGAACGAATTTTAATAACGGGGTACAGTACCATTAGCGTAACTTTTATCCTAAGGTTCTGTACAACAATAATCAAAGGCAGTCACCTTCTATGTGGTAGTTCGAACGTCGAGTATGCCGCTATGTTGAAATTGGGGTATTTCTACTAGTGCTGTTTTAAAATGGTAAATGGTAAAAATTGTGTCTTATTCAGTGTATCGTGCAACATTCTTTATTTTACTCTTACTGAACTTGGTGTTGTCGTAAATGGAGGGGGGCTGGTCGATAAAAGTAAAAGCTTTACAAATTACCGTTTTATTTCCTGACAGGAGTATTCTAGCATACTAACATCAGATGACACTTGTTAGCAATCCTAGCTAAAGAACGTTTTTCGTTTTTTGGCCCTGTGCTTTATCTTTGAAAAATGCAAAGAGTAACATGTTAACATCTCTTTTTGGCTGTATTGTTTTCGGAATTCGTAGAGACACTAAAAAGAATATGAATCTTAGAAAGATGCTGCATAATTACGCACTGAAGGTAAAATCCAACCAAGCAATTTGCCACGTAACTCCGTTAGGGGACCCACGGTCTGTTATGGCAGAAACTGGAGCGGTGCAAAGTTAGTGAAAAAACTTCAGAAGTTCACAGATGGATTGGCAAGTCCACAGAGAGGCTGACATGATCGCATGACAGGCTGCAAAGGGCAAAACAGCCAGATTATATGACGCATCTGTCATAGTGGAGTCGTTTGGCAGATCTTAACTAATTAGTTGAAAACCCGGATCATTGATGAACATCTTGAGCCTGTTGCTGCCCTCTTTCACCGATTATTTGCATTTATTTTCTATTATTGAAAAATTTTTCATTGGACCTTCATTTATTGTTGAAGCTTGCTGATGAAGAATCTTCGAATCAGGAAAATGATCGTTTTCACTTAGGACAGTAACGAATGTAGCTTTGGAAGACTAAATCGCAGTCTCCCTACCGTTGGACTTCTCGTGAAGCAAGGCTAGAATAGTAAAGCATATTGCAGAACAGTTACTGTTAGTAGCATCTTATAACATGAAGGTCCTGAGAGATTTTACGACTCCTTTTTTCAGGGCTCCTTCAGATTAATTCATTTGTTTCTACAAGATACTGATTTGTCAGCCAGAAATTATTGTTTTGATTTTATTATTTTTTAGAAATGTTTCTACGTATTGAAAACTATGTACTTTTGCCTAAAATTAACAGTTTTTTAATAGACGTCAGCACCAAAGCCACTTGTGCCAGAAATATCCATTTGCAGCCCGATAAAGCCGTACGCTAAGGAAGGAATATGCCCAAGGCCGCAGGGTTTATCGTCGAATAAACAGCAACTTACCTCTAATAATGCTGTTGTTCCCCAAGTGAAAATCAAGCCGACCGTAGCTTCGACTAATCGCATGGTAAAACGTCCCGTTGTGGACAGGGTCGTTAAAGACATGAAAAATTTGAGCGCTCCTTGTAGAAGGGCTACTGTCAAAACTGTCACCCCTACCGAAGCCGAAATAATGAGCTTGAAAACTCAGTTGGCAAAACAGGATTCTGAGATCCAAGAATTGAAAAATCTGATTGAGACGCTAGTTATGAAGAAGGAGGCAGAAAACGGTTCTGATCGGCAGACCCCTCTTGCTGAAAACGACAAGTCTATAGAAATCATGTCAACGGCACATTGGTCAGCAGAGAGCGTGAGGAGTGGCAAAGAGCAGTCCACCAGCAACAGCAGAGCAGGAACTTCAAAAGACCCAGGTACACCGGAAGTCGCGTGCCAAACCGACGGAGTTTGTCCTCATTGCAACTCACCGTTGTCTTTATCGTCGTTGTGTCAGGACGGTCAAGGTGGCCGCTTGACCGTTGCTCAGATGCTCCAAAGGAACAGACACTCGCGTCCGTCGGGAGACATCGCTATCATGGCTAGCCCGTCGAACGGGAATCTTGCGAACAAGAATGCTCGCGCTGTCGAGGCTCAGTCGAAAACGTCTGTTGAACAGTGCCAAAGGAACTCGCTGGTTGGCTCCGAACAGCAGTTTATCAATGATATGATTGTGACCGCGAAAAAGTGGCTAAAAAGTGAAGACCACTGTTGCTCGAAAGCGGATAAGCTCTACGACAGCGACAGAAAAAAGGTGCCTGTACCGTTGTGTACCTGCTGCCGTGATGCATCACCATTGGCCATGCGTCCATCGCCGATCGACCGCTACGACACTGGAGATCAGGATGGTAACAGTTTGAGCATGGAGGTGAACGCCCTGGCGCATCGTTACCTGGGCAACATGGATGTCAGGGCTAATTACGATAGCCAATTCAACAGCGTCCGCCCTCGCATGCCGACGTCCTCCAACGAAAGCCCGAACACGATCACTCTAAAGCGGCGTCAGCACGTGCTGACTGAGGAGATTTCTCTCTTCGCTATGCCTCCAGCAGGTATGGCTGTTATTGATTATTTGAAGGTGATATTTATTATTTTTTAATTACAAGTTTGTTGATAATAAATTTTAGTTCGATTGCGTATAATTTAAATGAGCTTTGGGTAACGTATCTTCGTATGCAAATTTACCTGAGCATCACAAAGCCGGAAACGGTTTACCATCGAGCTTTCTAGTGTTTGCTGAATAATTGTGAAGCTGTAATCGAAACTTTACAGTAGTTCTTTTGCATTCTGACTTGTTATCGACTGTTTTTGAAGGTCTCGATTCAAGATTCCTGCTCGATGTATGATCATTCATTGCCGCTTCATTCCTTATACCATTTCATCGCATAACATTGCTTTAGTATAAGTGAAGAAAGGAAACTTAACATTTCATTATGACTGGGGTTGCTCAGTCAGTAGAGCGTCAGGTTCATAATCGAGAAGTCCCGAGTTCGAACACTGGTTGGTTCACTCTGTATTTCCTTCTGAGTTTGATAAGTGAGTCCCACGCTGTGACAAGGGAATAGAAGACTAAGCACTATGTTTACCATAGCTGATGTCAGCTTTGCCTTTCAAGTGAACAATTTTGGTTGACGGCATAGAAATGGAAATCAGCACCAGACAATTAATTTCATATAAACGGCACCAGAAATGACCCTGTCATGAAAGTATAATAAAACCGGTATTCTAACTGTTGGAAACCTTTTTTCCGAAACGGAAACATGCCGCCACTTTGAAAACCTCAGCTGTTCGCACCTTAATCGAAAACGATGGCATTGTATAGCTCTTATGATCAACTCTCCGAATAAATTCATGTTGACAGTTACTTCTTTGGGTATTTATTTATGATTGTCTCCTAACCGGTTTGTGGAAAACAATATTAAAACAACCACATTCTTGTTTGCCATAGCGGTCATGCTGCCTGTTTGTTGTAAACGTTAATATAAAATTGAGGTCGTTAATTTGTAGACTATCAAGCAGTAGAATTAACTTATAATATTCATGTAGTATATTCATTAGCTCATTTTCATAGCACGCTATCCGTTGTTATGGGTAGGAGCAGCTTCAGAAGTTTGTCCTTTGGTCCCTGGTCATCGGTTCGAATTCTCA